TTCATTTATTTAATTATTCATTCATTTAATTATTCATTTATTTATTTATTTATTTTACAAACCGTCAGCATAATGATATAATAAGGCTCATTTCAATGTTTTACACATTTATATAATGTAATTTAATTAACTATTTTATTATTTATTCATTTATTATTTAATTTATTTACTATAAACTTATTTATATTTAGTTAATTTTAATTATTTATTATTTATATATTGCAAATATTTTTTGAATAATTTAATAATTTAAAAAATTAATAAATTTAATAATAAGTATTTTAATAACTCTACAATACTTTTACAATATAATTATTTTGTTTAACAAATTTTAGGTTATTTATGATATGACAATTTAGTTTAACAATTTATAAGAGTCTTACATTATATTATTGTTATTTTTTTGCTTCATATTTTGTTTAATAAAACAATTATATTCATAAACTTTGAAATAATTTTGTTAAACCAAAACTAGACTCTATAGCAATTCAATTTTGTTATAATAAGTTTTAGATTTTAAGATTTTAAGATTTAAGCTTTAAGTTTTTATCACTATATGATTTTTATGAATATATTCAAAATTCTTTAGTTTAACCACAGTTGAAACATTTTATAGCAACAAATAAACAAATATAGATATTAATAATTATTTTAAGTTTAATAGGCATGAATAGTCTAAGATGTATAATCTTTGAGCTATAAATATCTCCATTGTTAAAAAAACGTTAAAAAATTGTAAACATAATAATTGCCCCGATGAAAAATATCAGCAAGATTTGTATATTTCATAGAATTTCATCAATTATATTAATTAGAACAATAAATTATGTAAGAATGAATAAAAAATGAATAAACAGTGCAAACAATAAATACACTCTTGACTACCTTGTATACTTTCAATGAATGAATATATTTACAGCAAAAAAATTGGAAATAATTTATATTGATATCTATTAACCTATCGTTTCAGATGAGAAGTTTGGGATTAGAAACTCTATTCAGTAAAAAAAACAATCTATCTATCTTTCTACTATCAAATTATTCAATAAAATTCATAATTTAACAAAATTAGACTTTCAGAACGATATTGATATATACTATATTACTATTTGGTAAATTATGTAAAGAGAGAAGAGACTGTTTTAGTTGGTAAACCCCTGATGAATATAATGAATTCATATTATGGTTAAAGCACTAAATAGTATGGTTTAGCAATAACTTTATATTTTAGGCATTACACCAGCAAAAGCCCTATATTTTTGGAAATATGTAAATTTATACAGGCCTATGTATTATATATATATATATATATATATATATATATATATATATAATGCAAATCTATAGCACGTACCATTGTTTCTATGTATGAGCTTTTCCATGTGTAAGCTCTTCGAGGGGGTGTGGCTTAGCGAAAAGCTCGTTAGATGCGCAACACACGCGAGCTTCGGTACAGTTCCACCCTCAAAGTGCGACAAAGCCAGAGGATGGAAAATTCACATCTGACAGAAAGAGATGGAGCAATATATTGATTTAGGGGTTTATAAATGTATTCGTAGGAGTATATGTATAGATATGTATTTATATATGGTGTGTTTATCTATACATGTAAAGTTAGTAATCTGCCCATTCATTTGGAATATGCCAAATATAAAGTATGTCTTTAGGCTACAAATATACATTAATATTATATATATATATATATATATATATATCAGTATATATATATATATATATATATATATATATCAGTAGCCCTTCGTGTGTTTGAAAGTAATACATCGTACGTTTCTCTTTGTCTATAGGATTTAGACCAATCGCATGCCAGATTATGTACAAACTAACCAATCAGGAATTACTGAACATACATAAAAATAAACGTATACGTGCAGGAAATATGCTTTTGTGTTAGAAGACATGATAGAGAGGGTGTTTTGATGGGTTTTCAACTTAGAAACATGTTATAATTTTTTTGATTTTTTTGGTTCCTCATCGTTATATCAAAACTTTCTTTGTCCGTTAAAGTAGATATAAACATACACACAAACGTATATAGGTGTATCTGATCTGAACAAATATATATTATTTCTCAAGTTTTACAACTCACCTTTTACTTCTCAAACTTGTTCTTCAGTGCTTCTGTGTCCTGTGCCTTGGCTTTCAATTCCTTGCATTTTATTTTTGGCGTAAGTCCTTCGTCATCTGCAATTTTCTCCATCATAGACCTCTATTTTTCCTTCAATGACATCATATAGAAGTACCCTTTTCTCATTTTGGGTCCAAAAACCAACTCCGTTTTCTTTTCACAATCATCAGTAGAATTCTTGCCTGTCCTAGTCTTTGCATTTGTTCTTTAACTGTAAACTAGAAATGATACTTAAATACTCAAATACTTTCTGATAGCAACTTGGCGTTTCAAAACCAAATATATGAATATATATTTGGTGTGTATAAATGCTGTGAAAACCTTACCAAAATTATAATGTTTCCAAAATCCCAACTAATTTATATAAAATCATTTTTGAAATTTCAATAGATCTTTATATATTTTATTAGACCTATATAGACCAATATAGAAATCAATTCTTTCATTTCGAAGTATTTTAGTTTTAGTTTATTTATTATAATGATGCACCAATTTTTAAACATGATTTATATTTTGCTTCGGAAGTAAGAAATATTGGTATCATAAAAGAATTGGTATCAAATAATTGGTCTTTTCATTTTCTATATATCATATTATTTTGACAATTCGTGAATTTATTTTTATTCGTTTTTTAAAGAACTGCTCAAGAAGCCAATTTAGTACTATATATATAATATGTATTTACTTACCTGAATATACTCAAAAATACATTTGCGTGCTATATAAGTAAACTCAACTTCATCGACTACATTTTTTGCATAGCAAAATATAACGCCAACTCTTGATTGCATATTTCATAATATACATATATATATATATATATATATATATATATTATATATTCAAGACCCTTTGTATAACCTAAGCCACAATTAGCACAATAAAAGTTCCTATTGTGCTCCAACAAACCATTGTGAACATTGACAAAATATTTTGACACTGTAAATAACTACCTACGAACGAAGAGCAATATGAACTTACATTGTGTAAGCCATATAATTATAAACAATAACATATTTTTTATTAACTCCCACTGAAAATGTTTCTATTGTGCGACAATTGGTCTCCATATTAGGGTTATATTGGAACTTTATTAGATTAAGAGAAAAAAGGTTACAAGTACTGAGAGTATTTTTATCACACGGTAAAGGACAACATTTAATTGATACTTTTTCCAAAAAAACGCATCAATAATACAAATATTAATACTTTCCATAATGTACATTAATATTTATTATTATTAATGTATATTAAAATTCTTATATACTCGAATTTGTTTATATTCACTGATAAACACAAACAATTATTTGAATTTTTTTCCTTTCGGTTTGATATAAGCTTTAAAAGATTTGAAATTTTAATGTTGAACATTAAGCCTTTTGAAATTAAAACCTATAATGAAAATATCTCTTCCAATACATACATATTAAACTAATTTAATTAATTATTTATTTAAGTTATTTTATTACTTCTACTTGACCTAATATTCAATATAAAATTGATAATACTTGCATATAGAAATATTGAACTTATAAAATTATTTACAAGCTATTTGATTTAAGATAGATACTCGTATTACACATCATTTTAAAAATTTCTTTTTTTATTTATTATTCAAATTTCTAATATTTTCAGTGAATCTATGTAAAATCTAGTATGTTTTTTGCAGATTAAAGGTCTACTTCAATGAGAAGACGCAATTGGCAATTTATAGTCTGTGTTAGTAAAACAAAAAAAATGACTTAAGTTATGAATACAAATAACAATGCCTTTGGCGATTTTTTTAATGTCAATTTGGTATATGTCCATTAATTGCTTTACTGTATTAGTATGTGGATGCAAAACAAGTTAATAAAACATATTTCATGATAATACATTGGTAATAAGAAAAAAAATGTAACACTGATAGTGATAGAACATTTATGATCTTTAAATAATACAATAAAATATTTGAAGTAGGCCTACGCAAGTTCAATAATGTTAGATATATAGTTGTGGTGCGCTATGCTAAAACTTTCAGAGAATATTTTTTTATTAATTTGGAAGCATTTGAGCACCTGGGAGCAAACCAATTCAAAAATATCTATATTAAGGACCACCCTAATATATATACATACATACAAGATCTCTCGTCAAGATCTCCATAACCAAGTAAGTGATACAGATATCATTACATTTGTAATGAATTAACGACCCTTTAGATAGGTCCACTTTAGATTTTAAATTTGGATTAAATTTTATCTCCATATGGACCACGGTATGATTTATGCATATTAATGCATGCATATAGTTTGTATGGTACGTTTTGTGTATATATATATATATATATATATATATATATAATTTGTGTATATATAGCTTAGTATTTCAAATGAATCTATGGCGGCGGCGCAAGAGATATTGATCAAATTGTACATTCGTCTACAAAGTTACATCTATGTACGCATATATATATATATATATATATATATATGTATATATATACATAGATACATACATATACACATACACATACATATAAATGTGTATGTGTATAAACATATATATGTGTATATAATTACACATATTTTTCAATTAAAAGTTTTAATGGTTTCTTAAAAAGTTTCGGTAGCTATATATATATATATATATATATATATATATATATATATATATATATTATATATATATACATATATTAATCCACACATGCATGTATCTGCATATGTCAAAATCCAAATGATAATGAGGTATTTATGCAGACAAAATTGAACGATGAATAAAATCCAAAGAAATTTTTGTTTTATTACATATAGGTACATATTTTTTCTGTTTAATATAAATTTTAGTAAATATAACATAAAATTTCAAAAAATTAAATTACAGCTTTTCCATAAACAGCCTCAGTTTCTCGACCATGTTCTAAAAATACATTTAAAATGAAAAGACCTAATACATGATAACAAACATGTAAAATATTAATGTATTGTAAATTTGAATTAGCATAGATTTGTTTTTATGAAAATTATAATTAAGAGTTTACTCCTATTTGAAAAAGAAATAAAAGTAAGTTGTCAAAAATTGGTTTTTACCCATTAGATTTTTTACTGAAATCTATAAACCATAAACCATATCTAGACTATTAAGATACTTAATTAATTGAAACTTCTGTTTGATGTTTTTGTGATGGTATGCTTTCTGCACATCATCCCCATTCCATGCTGTATTTTTTTTATATAATTCTAGGATATCTAATTTTATTTTTTACTAAATTAATGAGGGAATGTTAGCCTAAACCTAAATGGATATCGAATATACAACAAAAATTCATAGCATTTTTATTAATGTAACGCCTGATCATTAAAGCTCAACTCAATTCTGGCTAACATCCCAACAACTATGGATGTGTTGGGAATAAATTTGTTTTAAGTTTAAGGAGAAAAAATATAAATAAAATAGCATTTATGCAAAAATACTCAATTATTCATTTGGATTTTGAAATTTAAGTTTGTATCTCTAAATCACGTCTTGTAAAGCAATAAAAAATATCAACCTTTGAGAATAAAGACATTTTTTATATAAATGCCTAGTTCATTTTAGATTATTTCCAATATATTAGTTATTAGTTATTATTCTGCTTGTTTATCTATCGATCAAATCTAAAAACAAAACATATGTTTTTATCTGCTAAATTTGCTGTATCTAACTATTAAACTAAGTTCTTTTTGATGAAGTTATATATATATATATATATATATATTTATATTTATTTATATATTTGTGTATGTGTGTGTCATATGTGTATTAATGGCAATGTGCTTAAGCTCTATTTAAATAGCTTTCCTCAGAAAAGTTGATTAGGAACCTCTAAGCTTTCATCCTTCCATGAGTTATTTGCGTACCTATAATATATATATATATATATATATATATATATATATATATATATATATATATATATAGCACAGCATATTACTCACATAAATTGAGATGAAAAGAGTTAATTCATAATTTAACACGCCACATTTATGTTCTATAATTTCTCCTCATAAAATATTCAATAGAAGTATATGAATACTTATAGATGATGTATATATATATATATATATATATATATATATATATATCATTTAGACATATATAAACTGCGTAAAATGATAGATAAGCCATTCTCAATTAATTTTGATAATCATCCTTTTTTATATCGTTAATAATCTTTGCTCATTGTTTTTACTAACAGATTGCAGAATAAACTTAAAAAAAATAAACTGTCATAAATTTCAAAATTATCAAAATTAAGTGCAATCCCCATACAATATGAGAATACAATAAAATCATGGTGCAATTTTTCAGTATCAAAAATTGCATGTTTTTGATCAATTTCGTAATAAATTGAATTACATCGATGTTTAGGGTTATTTTACAACTCAATTTTCGATTATAAATCTCAGCTTAAAATCGAAATATTATATTATTAGTGATGCATTTCGGTAAACATAAATTTGAAAAAAAGCAATATACACAAAAATAAGTTTTTGACTTTAAATAATCACACAACGATATATGTGTGTGTATGCGTGTGTATAGGCATATATCCAAGTATGTAGTTATAGTTATGTAAATTAGTTTAATAAGTGGCCAATATACTGGTCTACAAAGTCAAGAAATAAAAAAAAATATATATATAATAGAAATAAAAAAATCACGCAACGATACACAATTATAGCTCAAAGTATTTATCAGCAATGAAATATGAACTCGCAAAATTTTATGCGTAGTGCAAAAGCCGCCTCAAAGATCACCCAAATTCACATGCCAAAGAACTCAAGGCCAGATTAAAAAAGAAGTTCATTCTGCATTAATTTTAATAATGTCATAACCAACGTTAATTGTCAGATGATTTTGTAAGCCTTTAAAGTGTTTATTATTATTCGTAAATTTGTTATCCTATTAGGATAATTGTAATAGTTATTGTCTATAGAATTAATAGTAATTTCTAATGAATAAGTATATTTCGTTTAAAGAGAGTTCTGTAGTTTTTTTAAAAACTAATAGATTTTTTTTCTTCTTAAAAGTTTTTCGTACCAGAAAAATAAAATCTTAAATAATATTAGCTTCAATTATTATGTATATATGTATGTATATAAGCATATATGTATGGGGTATATATATACATATATATTATATATATATATATATATATATATGTATATCTATATATGTTCGTTTATTGAAAGTGAACATATGTGTCCCCAAGCTTTTGATTGACATGTCCTGCAATCGAATAAAAGTCCTTCGCCGTGCCTAATGACACCTTCTACATGCATCGACATCTGTAGATATATCGTATATACGACGATATATTGTTATACATATACCGATTTCGGTTTATATACACTTCTACATTAATATTCATGTATTTTATATGTAGCTTTTCAACGGATTTTCCAAAGATTTCATTCCTAAAGGACCCTTTCAACAGAATACACAAATCCAAGCAAAAGAAGAGGCTTGTTTCATGTCAAATTTCTATCATTTGTTTTAGAATTAGAACATTTTTACTACATTATTATTTTCATTCTACAAGATTTTTAGATGACGTCAAGGAATTAACTAGGTGTTGTTTTTCAGTCGTTTCAAGTCATTATGAGTCGCTTGACATTAAAATTAGAATATATATATATATATATATATATATATATATATATATATATATATGATAGTAATATATTGCACAACTTTGAAAATAAGAGACGAGAGAATGCAGTTTTAGAGTTGCACTATTGCAAAATTACAGGAAATTGCACGTATGTTAACTTTTTCTTTATTTCGTTCACCTTTATTACTTCATAAATAACATGAATTCTATATTCTCATTTCCATGAGACATTGCAAAATTTCAAATAATAAAATAATTAAATGTAATTGACAGGTATTATTAGTTTCATGCAGTACAATAAATATTTCTTTTAATTATTGTATCATAGGTTTGTAACATACTTTGGTTACACATGTTAATTAACAAACAAACAAACTTAAGTTTGTCTATTAAAAATATTTCATTTATTTGGAACAGAAGTTTGCAAAGAGAAATACACAAAATTAAACAAAAAAAACGTTATTAACTGTTATAAAATGGTAATGGTAATTAAAAACAATGAAAGAAAATTGAGTCATTGATTTGTGGTGCTAATATTTTTTGTATTATATAAAGAAATACCAAATCATATTTAGCTATTGCAAATACTCAATTGTGTATATCTGTTGTAATTGTTTTGCGGTTTTGCAATTTTTCATTGGCTTTGAAGTGCTTTGCATGCTAACATTTGTACTAGAATTTCGTAGCGCAATTGATTCTTATTATTAAAACAGTCACAATTCTGGAAATAAACTAATATTCTGAAACTTTTATGTAAACAGTAAATAATATAGTTTAATTTATCTATTAAATTATAGCAGGTACGTATGATTTTTGCTGCCCCTTGTCTGAGAAGATTAAATAGTCCTTCAAAAATTAAACAATCCTTTTGGTATTTATCATTTTGGAAACAGACTACTGATCCTTATATAAAATATATTTTATTTAAGGTTTAGGGCTTTCTTGCGCATAGTGACTTGCTATGCACTTCGAATCAGAGCCTGATCATGTCAAGCTGTA